TTTAGAACCAGAACTTAATATCCTTTGTCCAAAAAAAAATTGTCCTTTTAACTCGGGTTAGGGTTTGAATTTTTTTGGCTTCAATCAACAGATGAAAAAAGAAAGTTTATTACTCATTAATTAAAAGGATGGTACTAAAGCAAATCTTGACATTTCATTCGATTAAAAAATCAAGGCCAGTTCCTATCTAAGCTTTTTCGTACATTAAGGAATAAAATCCTTGATATCTTGATTGCATGAGGAAGATTAATAGAATCGCCTCCATGAATAAAGATTATGGTAACTTAACTATGTTTATTTTATGGCTTACCATAATTAAAATCTGAAAACTCCATGTAACTTAGATAGGCTGTTTTGATTGACAAATTAAGAAGGCCAGAGGGGAGAATTCTTTATAAAGTTAAAAAAATGTATGAAATTACAAATTTGAAACCCCAAGTTTAATAGCCTAACCTTAACAATTTGAAAAAAATTAACCTTAAATTTAAAACTGTAAAAGGCATTTGAAAGTTAACACATAAAATACCTCTTTTACATTTTCATCCTCAACTGGTTCGGCCTTTTTGATAAAGCTTCAAGGGCATTTTGCCAAGTAAAAGTAGTGAACTTAGCGTTTTCTATCAAAGAAGCACAACACTTTTAAGGAAATCAGTCCAACCACCTCAAATCTTTGTAAGTTTAACCCTTAGAGTGCCAGGCGAGAAATAAAAGTAACGCTCAAAAAATGCCGATGATTTTTCCCGAAGGTCGCGCTAAAAATGCCGAGCGCAATCTGGCGATTTTTAGGTTAAAATTTCGTAAAAATCGAATTTTCGATATTTCGACCAACGAAAATCGATGTATTGCATCTAGTAACTTTCGACTCAATGTTAATATATGGGTTAAAAGAATCCGAGTATCCATTCGGTTGTTATGAAAACTGTTCGATCATTACGAAACGTCCGGTCGGCCAGACGTCGGCACTTTTGGCTCGTTTTAAAAACGTCCGGTTCCCCGGACGTTGGCACTCAAAGGGTTAAATCAATTGAACAAAAGCAATATATGCGTACCTACTGAAGCTCAAATTACTCAACTTAAACAATTCAGAGGTGCATGTTATCATATTTCAACATTTGACAAAATCTTATAAATTAAGATTAAGACAATATGGTCGTTGGCTTTTTTGACAAATTCTGAAAACATAGCCTATAGGCATCACTATTGACGATAGTGTCTCAGGGTCCTGGTCAGAAACCGATGAGAACCTCTTCTGCGAAGGAGTGGGGAATCGTGGGAGAGCCCCTCTCATCGATTTAAGAAAAATTATAAAATTAAACTATCATAACCTAACCTAACCAACAAAACTTACTGATAATATAAAAAAGATAAAAATTTAATGAAGGTTTCCTAATGAAAAAAATAGTTCTGTGCATAAAATAAAATTATAAACGCCTCAAATTCTAACAAAAGATGTAAGTTACAGTTAAGAATTAATTGCATTCCAAGCAAAATCTTTGACAAAAAGTTAGTGCCACAGGTGGGATTTGATCTGGATACCTCATGGACGTCAGTTGAGTACGCTATCCACTATGCACGAACACCGATGGCTTCACTTCGTATGGTTGCGGTAATGGTGTTCCCTCAAGAGAAGAGTGACATCACCCCCCTCCTCTAAAAAGGTTCTCATCAGTTCTGACCAGGAACACGAGACGCTATAATCACTACTGAGGTATTATATTTCCATAAAGTTGTTACTTTAAAATGAAAAACATCTGATATCCCATCTAAATATTATTTGGACTAGAAATCTAGAGAATCTCTTCGTTTTAAACCCTTTGTTGCTACAGCATAGGTCATTTTTAAATGTACAGTAGTTAACTACCGAGTGCATAGTTGTTTAAACACTGTATGTATTACCCTATAGCCTGAGTTGTGGTATTTGAGTCTGTCGTACAAAGAGCTATCATTGTCTGTGTATTAGAAGAGTTTTAACTGCAAGGCTGCAAGTCAACAGGAGGAAGCATAGTTCTTTAAAAAACAAATGTTACCACAACAACACATGAGGCGTTCAGAAGTCAATCCGACTAAGTCCTATCAATGAAAATGTGCAGTATGGAGAATTAAAGTTATGTTTAAATGGAAAACTCTGAGAAATTTTTAGCAAATTTTTATTAGGCTCAACATATGTGTTACAATAATGTCCAACTATTTAACCTATATTAACATAATTATAAAATTCAAATTTCTTGAAATTTAAAAAATTGTTACTTTTAATGGAGTTAGTCACAATGCCAACAGAAAAGATTCTATAAAACATTCTGAGTGGTTTGAATAAAAAGATACTTTATTTAACAAATACACAAAAAGTTAAACTCAATCAAATAAAAAGACCAAATTATTATTTCAAATAATTTAAATACAAATGCTGGTATTTAATAAAACATAAATACGGGTTTCAAGCCAAATACAAGTCCTTCATTCTGCGTAGGTAATGCAATCGTCGTCACTTTCAACTTCGCCTTGTAAGATCCCTCGTTCAGTCCTCAAGTCCTTAAAATACTGATGATGAATAGGTGGTATATATTTTAAAAGGTCCATCATGTCCTTCTTCTTCGACATCGTAATGGGTCTTGAAGTCTGATACAGCAGTTCTTGTGTAACACTAGCAAGGCTCGCCAAAGGTCGTCCGTTTTCATTTTTCTTTCTTATGTTTACTTTTGCAAATGGCATCTCTGACATGAAAGTGCTTTTGAACTTAAATGCAAATGGTTCATCCTTCTCAATTCGGATCCACCTCATGGATAGCCAGTTGACCGGTTCGCCGTTGATAGTCTTTTTTCTGTTGGTAACAGACTTTTCCAAGGTCTCTGTGGAAAAGAAGTCATCGTGGTTCATTTCTGTAAGGAAATACTTGTTTGTTTTCCTGCAGCTGAGAATTATGTCGTACCAATCCCTTGGAGAAAAGATATTGGTAGTAGTCTTGGCTCTTTTTTCGATAAATGAAAAATCAGAATCATTTGGGAGATAGCTGTGTCCTGGCACAAGGAACTTCAAATCAATAATTTCAGTGCATCCACTTCCAGTTTGAAGGTGTTTCATTAAAGATAGGACCACTTTAATATTGCGGTTTTGCCCGCCACAGGAGTCAGAGTACATGACAACATGTTTTGCATTGCTGGCATGAAGAGATAGGTGTTTTATCAAACAAGAGCTGACTTCCTGTGATCCTCTTGATCCCTCAGTTTCTGGCCATACATACATGTAGGATTTTTTTTCGTTACAAACATGTACACCAAAATTATAAACATACAGGTTTCGTTTGTAGTATGCTACCGATGTTGAGAGTTTCGGAAAAGCCAAAGCTTTCTGTAGGTCGAAGGTTAACACGTAGTAGTCTTCAGAACATTGATCCTTGTCTTCTTTTAAACTTTCTCTAGCCTTTTCAGCTTTTCTTAAATGCAGCTCCTTCTCAGTTTGGATTATTTGCTTTTCTTCATCAGTTGCCACTGAAAGTCTGGTAATTAAACCATCACTCACTTGACAGGTGTCTTTGAGGGGTGGTTTGAAATGCAGATTGAAGTTAGTTGAAAATACATGGTAGTACATTTTTTCTTTAACCGGCGTTTTTTGGTTTTCACCACACCATAACACATATAAATCATACATTTTTTTGATTGTGAGGTCAGAGTTCAAATACTTTCTGTTAGGGTTGTGTGACCTGGTGTAGTGGCTAAAGTACGCAGGAAAAGACTTGATATGATTTACAACATCTGAAATGTCAACTTTATTCCCTGGAACTAACTTGCCCCTCTTATCTGTGATGCTGTTTACATCATTCTTTGTGCTACAATTATGTATTCGGCCATCAGACACTTGGAAGGTTTCCCTAAAGTATTTTTTACAAACCTGTATATCTTCATTCTTAACTCTGAGGAAAAATGAAAAGGTGTGGTTCCGCGGAGGCTTAGACTCATTCTTAGGTCGACGTCTCTTAACATTTTTTGATTTTACACAACCGTTAAGGAATATGTTTTGTTCATTATGTTTGGTTAAGCTATAAAATGAGGTAAAAAGAGATTGTCTGTCATGTGATGATATTTTTTCATTGCACTTCCTAGCACATTTACATTCTTTATCGCTAAATATCTTAGCAGCCACAGTATGGCCCGATCTTGTTTCATATTCTTGGCCTGAAATTCTCTTTTTATTCTGACGTGCTCTCTTCCAATCACTGGGATTTCTTTTACGTTTACGGCCCCTAACGTCCTCAGGGCTAGGCCTAACCTCAATATCTGAAACGTCAGAAAAACTGATTTCCTCTACTAGGCCTACAACATTAGGCCTATTATTATTAGGTGAAGTATTATTTATGTCCTGATTCTCATTAGAGACTAGGTTGTTTGACCTGTTAAGGATTTGACTAAATCGAGATGAAGTATTACTAATACTAAAGTCTAAGTCTGAACCTGGAATGTAGTCTGGATCTGAGTCAGCATTGTCCCCAAAAAGGTCACTTTCACTGCTTTGTTCACTCATTTTAATAAGTCATTTTAAAGAACTCATCATACAAAAACACTATAAAGCACAACACTTAGTAAAACATAACCTTTTACAATGACAGTTCAACACAAAACATCAGTCGGTTTACTGTTGTTATGGAAACATGGAGTTAATCAAACTGGCCTCCGAAACAGCTGGGAAAAGGTTCAGTTGGCATAACATCTAGCGCATTCTAGCGGCAAACTAATGAACTAGGGAGTTAGTCGTCTTGGCCAGTGAAAACCCTTTGCAAAAGCAATCTAACAGTGTTATTAACTCAATTTGAAAAAAAATTGGACTTAGTCAGATTGACTTCTGAACGCCTCACATGAACTGTTAAGTTAGTAAATACTTAGGCCGGAACTGGATTTTCATAGCCTAATAGGAATGCAATAGCCAATTAAAAGTTCCTGACTGCACTTTCCATTAACTCTCAGTTTAAAATCATTCGGGTTTTAACAGTTTTAAAATAAAAACACAACTTTGTTTTATTTACCATTTAATGCATACAAAATCAATACAAAATTTACCAATCAATACAAACACGACTTAAGTTTATGCTAGGCTATGCTTTGTAAAAAATGTGATGTGCTAAGGTCTAGGTCTACTGTAGAATATAAAACATTTATACAGTAACCTTAATTTATATCTTTAAGTCAAGCTAAAAACTCACATTGGTTGCTACAGTAAGTTACTTATCTGAAAAATACAATCACAGATGGGCCGAATAAAATATTTATGCATATTGCACCACCAACTAGTAGGCTACATTGTTAGATGGCATTTAATCTTTCAAGATAAAAAATTGGATTGCAAAATATAAGCTAGGCTAGGTAAGGAAAAATACTTGTGTAATTAGTTAACTTATTTAAAATTGCAGGTAAAACCAAATACTTAGTGATTCTAGGCCTAAGTCAACTTAAGTTACTTTCATCAAAAATTTATTTGCAATTGAAAATTTAACTTAGACCATAAGTTAGTTTATGGCACATCATTGAAACTTTATGTAGGTACCTAATTGTAAATATTGTATGTCCTACATTAACTTGCTTCAGCAAAAGATAGGAGGCTGGGATGTATTTACCTGAATAAGTTAACTTTGACAAACTTAAAAGTTATTTAGGTCAGAAAGTACTTAACTAATTGTAAGGACAAGCCTAGTTTAAATGTTATTTAACTTAGGCTATTTATGCCTGGATTAAGTTAGAGGAAAATACTGGAATAAAACAATACTGGTATTTTGAGAAATTAAGTTAAGTAGGCCTAAGGCCTTAGCTAAAGGAGTCTTTTTTTTGTAATACAGTAAACATTAGGCTTTATCAATTCATTTCCTGTAGGCTACATTCTTAATAACTTGTCTTAAGGCCTTCAACAGTCAAATAGATAGGCTGGAATATAATGTAAACTTATTACATGAATTATGTTAACTTACTTAGAATAAATAAAACTGGTAATAGGCCTACTACCAATAAGTTAATACTGGAAATTTGTACAAAAGATTCATTCAAAATGTAAACTTATTGTCTAATAGGTTGAGTTTGAAGCTTGAAGTGCAATCTTAGGTCTAATTGGAAGCAAGAATAAGTTACGTCATTCCTAGTCTCACAAACAAATTGGTAACACAATCAATTAAAGATTTATCACACAATGCCTTAGATACTAGGAGCAGGATTGAACCAAATCATGGATCTGCTTGGAATGAATCTTGCGATTGCGATAACATTTAAAATTAAACTAGGCCTAGGCCTAATAGAAACTTAGGCCTGAGTTCGAATGAGAGGAATCCAAAACGTAAATATTATTAAAAGCTGGCAGTAAAACTTAAAAGTACCGGTAAGCTATTTAAATACAGTGAAAATTAAAAATTGTAGGTTAGGGAAGCAACTTTAACTTGTTTTAGCTTTATAGCCTAGATCATTTGAAAAATTTCTTACACTGCCTTGTAGATTCGGGTGCTGACAATGTCATCAACAGTGATAACCATCTTAACTTCTTCTGGAGTGAATTCTCTCACGATGGTGGTTTCTTTCTCCCCTTTCTGGACGTGGGTGAGTTTGTTGCCCTCCTGAGTGATGATCGATTTTACTTTGCGGCCATCGGGAGTTTCCTCCTCAAACTCCTCGCCGATCTTGAATACCGTAGCAGTGTTTTTAAATGTAGACTGTGATGTCAATGTGTACGTACCATCATTTTCGGTTAGTTCAATTACTGGGTTGACGGTTCCACCTACTTTGCGGGTCATCCAGCCGACACCAAGTGCTTTCATCACTTCATCAAAGTTTTCACTTGATGCCAACTTGTACTTCTTGTTCAATACAGACGCAAGAGCTTCCATTTTTTAGGATTTACCGAATTTAATAAGGACTTGACGACACTTGCTTCGTAAAAACGATTTGCCGGTTCACTAACACACAAAACGAGTGACGACCTGACGCCCAAACCCAAACCTACACGGTAAAATCTCTGCAACGCTTTAGTTTTTAGTTTATGACGACGACGTCGAGACCAAGACCACGCTACTCTCACTCTGCTTACTCGCAGTGTAGTGATGTGCGATACGTATCGTATCGTATCGGAATATAGCGATACGCGAGGGACGATACGATATTTCGATACGATATTTGAAAAACGATACGTATCGTATCGCCTAAAACGATATTTGTATTTATATCGGCACATAGAGCGATACGATTCATGTCAAAACGATATTTTTAAGCTTTTTTTGCGCAGGCCGAGCAAACTGCAAAATCTGTACTCTGTGGATGTGTAGTTTGAAAAACTTGAAAGTGGTTTGAAATAGGAGTTTTTGACGTCTGTATTTTTGGTTTTTACTTGATAATGTACCAGTCCCATCCCAGTCCAGTCCATTTACTTTCCACTAGCGTGCTATCTGCTATCTAGCACTAGCAGTGCAGAGTGTAGGCGGCCGTGGTGGGAACTGTCTGTGGCAATTACATTAATGTATCTGCAATCCTAAAATTCTATGGGAAGAATAGGGAAACAGGTCCAAGACGTAGGGAGTTGTGAAGGAAGTAGTAAAGGCGAGCAGTGAGCAGTGTCGAGTGTGGAAATGGATTAATGAATGTATCTGCAATACTAAGACTGTTTTCAGAGTAAACTAATGATTTTCCCCGAGCAAAGCTTGGTCCCCAGGTACTTATATAGAATAAATTTGCCGTTTCTAGGTTAGGTAGGGGAGGGGGAAAACGATACGATACGTATCGTTTTTCGATATTTTTGACGATACGATTCGCGTATCGCGATACAGACGCCCGATTCAATACGGCGATACGATATTTTTTTCCGATACGTATCGTATCGCTGTATCGCGATACGCGTCCGTATCGCCCATCACTATCGCAGTGCAGTAAACTCGGAACTCGGAGGACGGACTCGACTTCGATTCGACTCGAGTTCGGGATAGAGACACACGTCACACACACGGGTGGGTTCCATAATATCGACAACCGTAGAAATTGATCGAAACTGAATTATTCCCAGTTTGTCGACACTGGAATATTCCCACTTAACCGACATCCCAAATAACCGACGTCGCAAATGATCGACACCACAAATTGTCGACATCCCATATTGTCGACAATGAAATAGTTTCACTATGTCGACACTGAAATAGTCCCAGTATATCGACAAGCTCCCGTTCTTTGGAGCTACTCTTGAAAAGGAGTTGTTCTAATTCATCGTTCAGTTCCTCAACTGGGTGGGTTCCATAATATCGACAACCGTAGAAATTGATCGAAACTGAATTATTCCCAGTTTGTCGACACTGGAATATTCCCACTTAACCGACATCCCAAATAACCGACGTCGCAAATGATCGACACCACAAATTGTCGACATCCCATATTGTCGACAATGAAATAGTTTCACTATGTCGACACTGAAATAGTCCCAGTATATCGACAAGCTCCCGTTCTTTGGAGCTACTCTTGAAAAGGAGTTGTTCTAATTCATCGTTCAGTTCCTCAACTCACGAGTCGTAATATTTGATTCCGGGCGTATTCCGAATTCCGACGGACATCTTCAAGCTGACCATTTAAGTTATTTATTGACTAAAAACTTTTTAGTATATTGTAAATATTTATCTTTTTTATTTCTTTCCTTGTTTACAATAAAATAGATGACTCGAGTGTTACAAACAATAGTTTTTAAGGAATAATGTGAAATAAGTTAATTTTTATAGGGTAAATAACTTAATCAACATGATAACTTAATAACATTAGTCCTACCATACACTAACTTAGGTAAGTCACCAACAAGAACCTACAGCTTATTCGTAGGCTAATTCTGGATCATCAAGCAACATTGTAGCAAATGTTTGGATAGGCACTATCCCTAGGCTATTAGGATTGTCTCTTTTTCCCACTGACCCAGTGTCAACTTTAAGAATTTGTTTAAGTTATGTAAAAATATTTGGCTGCACTTTAGTTTATGTCCTACATTCATTCAAATGAAATATATTAATACATAGACTATTTAATATTTTCAATATTTTATTCCGTTAGTTAGGTTAGGTTTTACCCTAACATTAACCAAAATTGATATAGGCCTAAGTTTATTGAATGAAATAATCAATATGACTGGGACAGGTGGCGTTGTCCTGTAATCCAGAGAGCTACTAGGAGGTCACGAATTGTGGATATTTATAGGCTTGCACTGTGGATGCGATACTCCCTGGTGTGGATTAACGTCCGCACGAGTGAGTACTACGACTATCCGCAGTACTATCCTGATAATTAGACCAATTCGTATATACCAAGGCAATAATGTGGTTCGGATTCCACTATAAACTGTAGGTCCCTTAGTTGCCATTAGCTGTATGGGCTATTAATTAACAGCTGTGTCTAAGGAATGTCAGCCTTAGTCACTAACGAGACTACAAGATCGCGCCACTCATCCTGATCCTACACTCATTTCCATTCATACTTGGCTTAAAATACTTACGGTACCTACTTTGTATGGTCGCCAAGTAATAAGAAAGAAAGTTTAAAGAAATATATTCATTGGAATGAGTGTAGGACGTAAAATTATGTGCTGTCAAATATTCTAGAGCTGTTTGTATTCATGGTGTAAGACTAGACTTGGATTATATAACTTAATTCATTGCTCATGACATCAATGTTAATTTTATAGATGATCCTGCAGCAAAGGCTGTAATTTGACCTGAACCCAAATTGGTCTCTATTTTAAATATTGTCTTGAACCAATAAGTTAAGAGGACTAACCTTTCTGGACGACATTGCCATCGACATCACTGCAGATGAGAGAGAAAGAGAGACCAGAGTTGTGGACCCTGGAGGCAATTACAATACTGCCGATAATGTTACTTGGTCTAACCATAACTTAAGTGAGGTGAGTCAACATTCTTTCCCCTTTGTGATAGGTTCTAGGCTATGTTTGTTAACTAAGTTATTCAAAGTTCAAATCGGTACTTTGGTAAGTATTATCCGGAGGCTACAGATAGGCTATACAGCGCTTTGCGGCGGTTATGTTAGGTTGGGTTATCATAAATGAAAGGAACATTTTTATGTCCTAGGCCTACTGTCCATATTTGGGTGGGTTCCATATTATCGACAACCATAGAAACTGATCCAAACTGAATCATTTGCATTTAGTGTTGAACAGAGTTTGAACAACTAATTATTTATATGTTTTATGTTAACTTTAGAGAAAATATAATGAGTAACACAAGTGCAAACTGCCTTTGCTGCACTCGAGAAACTTTCCACACTCGCCTACGGCTCGTGCGTAAACATTTCTCTTATGTGTAGCAAAGTCCCACTTCGCCCACTAAGTTACCTACACAAATAAACTATTATTAATAGTTTTTTGTGGAACATAAGGATAATTAATTAATCTTTATGCAAATTTATAGTTTTTTATAAAAATTTAAAACTAGGCCCCTACTTAAAATGTATTTGGATACATCTCGAAACATGTTGTTTGGAAATGTCTTAATTAGGCTAGAGCTTGCATTTTTGCAAATTGGGAAATAACAAATAATTAATGTTTAACACGTTCGCTACCGAGCGAGGCACATATGCGTTGGTCCGGTCACTCCTACAGACCAAAAGGAATGATCATGATGTTGCTTACAGACCAAGTGATATAGGAATAACATTGCCAACAGACCAAAAGAGAAATATCGTTTAAATGGACGAATTGACTTCATATTAACCTTAAGTGAATTAGTAAGCAATAAATATTGTTTTTATTTATCGTTTTGAGCAAATTTTAAAACGCTGCATGTATGCGTCGGTCAGTCTATTTAATGAAATCTATATAATTAATACGCTACATGAAACTTTGTCGGTTGAACTCCTCCGCCATTTCTTAACTGATTTTATCCATTGATGTCTCATTGGAAAGAGCGTGTCGCGTATATTTGCAAACTGGCCTTACATTTTTGAAAAAGTCCCTTGGGCTCTGCCCCAGGGGCTTTGAAAGTTCCCATGTTATCCTTATGAAGAACATAATTGTTTACATTTTGATCAGCTGTATAATTTAATTGCTGTTATTTATTTATTTACTATTTGAGTTTGTGTAAACATAACCCCCAAGATGGATCGTGTTAGTATGGTTCTATCTTAAATTTGTGTATTTATCGTTGTTTTGTGTCGCTATGACGGATCGTGTTAGCACGATTGTAACTTAAATTTGTGCATTTATCGTTGTTCGTTGTTTTGTGTAGCTATAATTTGTTTATTTGTTTTTTCTTTTAAATGCCTTCGACGCGACGACAACGAAACATAGACAGGAGGCGTAATCGTGATAACGACCGCAGCTACTTATATCCAATTCCAATCCACAGTGGTGCGTAATAGGCTTAAATCATCACAGTCAGCACCTGACCTTGGACAATCTCTACTATTAGGCTACAAATGGGCCCTAACACTATCCCAAAACGACTTTTCGTTCCCAATTGGCCCTCTATCAATGACCTGTGTTGCCTGTACAGCGAGGCATTTTGAGAAGGAGAAAACCGGCCGGAATGCTTTAGGTTTATCAATAACGAAGATAAACATGGTCTGAGTTACACACCGGTAATCTTTGAGTTGACTCTTTTAAACTCATTGTAAATATGACTGTTATTCGTTTTGAAATAACTCCTGTAATACATTGCAATTGCTCGAATTCGAGCAACATGTACACTAGTCTAGATAAAAAGATTACCTACATTTTCGTTTCAATAGACCAGGCGACACACGTTTAAGCGTCATTGTTTTTAAATTGTTGTAAATTTGGTTGTTTCAAGCTTTTACACAAACAAATAAAGAAACTCCACCACTCGCCAAAACTGCAAAGGTTATAACGTTTACATCTGTTCTGAGATGTCGCGGAATGCACAATGTAAACAACAATGTTGCCAACTGTTGTGTGACGTAACCAATCGTCATATCCACAGACCAAGCGATGCACATTTGCGGCAGATATCCCTCTAGACCGATACGATAAAATCAGGGCTTTAAAATAGACCGTTGCTAAGAAATACGCTGATTAATAACATTGAACACCGACGCAAGTGTGCGTCGTTAGTCTATTTCAATGTGATCAGCTGACGCAAATATGCGTCGGTGGTCTCGTGAGAAACGAGTCTACGCACAATTGCGTCGCTGGTCTATGCGAACGTAAATTCCATATAATTGTGGTAGCGAACAAGTTAAACCAATTTATTTTGTCTAAACCAAATTATTGTTACAAATTCTAATATTTGTACTAACTTGACCCAGATTTGCTCAAACATTTTCCTATTAGCTGTACCTATTTTAATATCGCAAATAGGCTATAGAAAGGAGTGTACACACTTATTATTATTTGTATAGGCCTAACACTATTTTTTGCAATATTTCTGTACAGAACTGAAGCCTACCAGTAAAATGGGGGCGTTGTAATTAATATCCTCCGACATTGGAGAATACAGGGGAGAGGTGTCAGAGGAAGAGGAGATGGAGGATGGGGCGAAGTAAAGACTAAGATTGAAGAGAACTAACTAATGGTAAGTTTTGCCATTTACTTATAAATCCAGGGCCGTGTCCATTGCCCCCAAGCCTATGTCGCATAACCCTCCTGAATTACTAGTATTTAACCAGCATTTTAACTCGAGAGGCGCTCAAAAATTTGCTTTTGTTTTTTAGGAAATGTAGGCTATATTTTTTGACACCATAATTATAATTGTTCTGAATATGTCATAGTTTTTACATTTGGTAAGTACTGAAACAACAATAATTTTAAGACAAATGGAAAAGCCCCTGTCAACAGAAGCAGTTGAAACAAGTATAAAAAATTCTCATACATCAATAAGGTATTTAGTACAAGCGTGGTTCAATAAGACCTTAGAAGAATATAGTATAACACAATTTTTGTGATAAATTTGATTTATTTTGCTATAATCTCCTTTTATTTAGCTCTATACACTTATCTTAAAGTTTCTCCAACCTCGTTCAAATTATGTCCAAATAAATAGTACCCTACAAACTTGAAAAGCCTTCAAAATACTCTTCTGTTTCAGTGATGACCAGCTCCATGGCAACTAAAAATGTCTGCACGTAGGCCTTGAAGCGCCCCTATCCCCACCACCTTCTGCCAGTCACTCGCCCGACAGGGCAGCAAAGAAAACTGTCAGATAATTTTGCCACACTCTGTACATTATATTTTGTCCTATACAAAATGGGTTTAATATGGGTCGGCACTTATATATTGATCCAAACGATTACTGCAATTGTGGCAAAATTAAACGATATTGTCCTCGGTAATGACCAAATCGTGATTGCAGGGTCATCATCTTCATCTCCCAAGGTCGCCAGTGTTTAAAATTGTGGGCATCCTCGGAGCAATCGTGAACATCTTTCGCGGTTGCGAGGCCTGATTATCGTCACCCGCGATCGCTGGTAGTCGTAAATTTCGATCACGCAATCTTTGCAGACGCTTTCGGCTATCATGAGAATACAAGAAAAACTTGGCTTATTGTACCCCTAATTCTAACAGATTGTGGGAAAATTAATTTTCCAAGAGAAAAAGCATTCTTTTGAGGCCCCAAGTGAGTCCCCTTCCCAGGCCGAAGCCCTTGGCAATGGCAGTGTCCACTGTTAGGGGAATACAGCCCTGATTTTGGAGGCCTATGTTGGTGTGGGGCCTAGTGCAAACCGTCCCCCCCCCCCTCAGTACGCCACTGAGTAGCCTACATTAAATAATGATAGAAGTATGCATAAAAAGACTCTGTTCAGAATACTGTTTTTAATATTAATTTTTGTTCTGTTATATCCAGGCCTGATGACAGGGTGGATGGCGATGGAGGCATGGAGGTTGGGGGAGAGGAGGCTGAAGAAGTGGAGACAAATCAGTTTGGATCCATTATGTTGATTAGTTTAACATTTATTTTGAACATCAGTATTTACATTTTTTCTCATTTAGGTTATTAAATTAAGATAATTTTATTGTTTTTATGAAGATGTTTTCTTACATTTTTAATATTTGTTTGTACTTCTGCCTGGTAAAAAAAATTCTGTTTATTATGTTTGTGAAAATGATTACTTTCACTAACTGACCTTGTCTTGGGTAACAAAAGATATATCTTGATATTTAACTAGCAGGGTGCCTGTTCTATGGGCGGGGATTGTATAAGTCAGTAGAAACCTTCTTATATTTCGATACTTGGTAAATTAAATCATTTCCAACTTTATATAGTATAGATCGCTATTCCTGTATTGATGTACTGAAATGAATAAAATTATATAAGAAATGAAATGTTGTTTATTTATATATGTTGATGACACACTATTAAAAAGGCATAACAATATTCTAAAGTTTATAACAGCTAATGTTTGTGTTTTTATTAATGACTAGTGAACCTGTGCGGCTCAATGCCCCGCAAAAACATATGAATAAATTTAGAAAACAAATTCATCGTGTTATATATTGACTCGTCGAAAATTAAATACAGTAATAATAAAGCATTAGAAGGGAAGCAATCCAGCCATTTTCTAGCTGTATGCGTATTATATTTAGTAAATTAATAAGTGTTCAAGTTCAAGTATGTTACAGGGTGGTTATTTTTTTTTTAAGATTCTTAAAAACACAAACAAAACATTTTATCATATCAAACCAATAGGCAGTGAATGTAGTATATACCTATGTAGCATATTTTGAGGGTCATAAAATGCTGCTTGAAGAAAACACTTATCACAAAAGCACTTCCATGAATACTACGATTTTAGTCTTAAAGTTGCCTTCAGGAATATTACCCTGGTCAGAATTTTCCGTAATGAATATGCTTATCCTACTATTAAAAGATGTAGCCTTACTTAAAACAACCTATACAGTATATAGTTGCTCATGACTGAAATTGGTCTGGCTAAGAACATTGCTGCTCTTTAATTAAAGTGCTTGTGCTGCAAATGCCAAAGATAACAGAAATTAGCATCTTTCCATTTTAAAAGGTAACTTTGTTTCAGACGGGCAAATTTTTTATCCTCAAAATCAAAGTATGTCCTTACTCACTTGTTCCATGTTAGGACTTTACATTCTACTTTACATTGTTGTTAACCGTTCTGATCACATGAAGCCTTGTGCCATTAATGAGGCCCTTTTTGATGTATTAATATCAATAAAACCACTGCCTCCTTTTATTTGCATAATCTGTGTCTTGGCAATCCACTGACCTTAATATTTAAAAACTCAGTTGGATTTTCTAGATGGGTGCCTCTGCCTTCGACTGTTTTCAAGGACCCACTCTTCCCCTTGGCATACTGACAATTAATTACCTAACTTGTTAAGTTCATGTAGTAATTCATTAATACTGTTAGTTTATAAAAAAAAATTAGATAAAAAGTACTTAGCTTGGTGCTTTCATAACTGCAAACTCAAAATACACCCACAAGTAAAAAATAATCAAGTTATTGGTTAAAAAAAACTATGTTTGTGTAAAAAGATTATTCACATGAAGTAGATGATTTGTTTGATTTCTTGATCAGCTGTTTCGTTTCTAATGAATTAATAATGTCAAAAGATTGTGATTTTAATTACATCATTTATTATAGTAAAGTTTTTCTACTTATTCTCTTATTCTCAATTAAATTTTACTATTCCCAGCATGAAAATAAAGTAGTGAGATCCATTATGAGTAAAGTTTAAGGCACACAATCCTTGATTGAAATGTAGTATACATTAATAGTCATATTACACAGAAATTATTATGTAGTAGACTTTGACTATTTTCAATTAACAAACATATGTTTCTGTAAATAAAAATTATCTCCCTTGTTATCCTTATGGAGAAATACGAAACTTTAAAGGGCCCCAGGGCCTCACTCTCTAATGATTTCCTTAAAAAGAAGGTTTCCTGCACAACTTCACGTTACGCTCTTTCAAATGACACCAAAAACATGTCAATCGGTTTAGTAGTTTCGGAGGAGTAATTGTCACAAAAATCGTGCTTGCGTATTAAATAAGTACGAGAGCACGCCCCGTGGTCGAAAAATCGACCAAAAGTATGTATTGTACAAACTTCTCTATTTTCATCCCACACTGTAAATAAAACATGTGATTGGAATGTCTTCCATTTGTTTTGATTTTCTGTTTATATTGTGTTGTTATTTTGTCATCACCATAGCAACCCATAAGACCCATGTTAATTTTTTAAAATTTCAAATTAATTTTTCGTTCTTATTTTTTAGCCTATTTTAATTTATAAAGGGATTCTGCACACCTACAGAAAAATAGCTTTCTAACGGTATGCGTAGATTTTCCCTACGATACACACGAGCTGAGAAAAAAGGTTTTAAAGAAACATGCTTGCCTATTAATATATAGATAGATATAGATTTATTGTGACTTTTGAGTGATTGAAGGATTTGTGATTTGGTTTTAAGGAGATTGATGTACCTAATTTTTTTAAATCTATATATCTATACTTATTTAATACGCAAGCAGATTTTTTGTGACAATTACTCCTCCGAAACTACTGAACTGATTGCCATGTCTTTGGTGTCATTGGAAAGAGCGTATCATGAAGTTGTGCAGGAAACTTTTTTAGGGAAATAATTAGAGAGTGAGGCCCTGGGGCCCTTTAAAGTTTTGTATTTCTCCATAAGATTAACATGGGAAACAAAGATTGTTATGAAACTCCAGCTGTTGTCAGAAATGCTGTTCTGCTATTTATTTAATTTAATTTGTTTACAAGGAGAATTGTTTCTTAGTGCCATGTGGTCAATAAGTTATACTTTTGCATATATTTTAAATGATATACACTATATAAAATTATGGTACTGTAATACAATAAGAGATATTCACTTAAATAATCAATAAGTACGATTGAGCCTTTGCCTATATGTTTCCTGGTAAGTGTGTTGTATTTTCCAGTATATTATAGTATCTTAAAGTAAAACCAAATTATTCTTTTCTGCATTCTTACCCCGTAGCGAAGCACGGGCAGAGCAACTAGTATTTATTAAATACGCAAGCAGGTTTTTTGTGACAATTACTTCTCCGAAATTACTGAACCGATTGACATGTTTTTGGTGTCATTGGAAAGAGCATAACGTGAAGTTGTGCAAGAAACTTTCTTTTAAGGGAAATAATTAGAGAGTGAGGACCTGGGGCCCTTTAAAGTTTCGTATTTCTCCATAAGACTAACATGGGAAACAAACATTGTTATGAAACTCCAAATGTTGTCAGAAATTTAAAGTGAGAAGAAGAACATATGTTAATTGTAAAATTGTGACAGAGAGGTTATGCAGAAAATCAGGTATAGTTCGGCCGCTTAGAAAACGACCTGCGCGCTAATGCTAAACCAATGCTGGAGGAGGTCGATTTCTAAGCGGCCGACCTATAGTTAATGGTTATTTGGTGCTATTAAAATAAAGACTGAAATTTGTAAATGTACTGGCGACAATGGGCCGATACCACGCAAACTACATTATCATTGACAAAGACCAACATGGAGAACCTATTGCGACTGTAAGTGGGAAACATTTCGACAACACACTAAAAGTCCATGGTGGAAGGAAAAAACATAGGTGTGCTATTCCCGTCATATTCTGACGTCACTTGTATTGCAAACACCTGATTGTAAAGATCAAATCTGTAACCGTTTCTGTTCTAATATCGGTGATAACAGTTACAGTAATTCCTTTTACCTACGACCTTTTTTAAAGTAGCCGTTTCAGTAAAGTCCTTTAATACGCCAACAGCTGATCTTGTGTCTTTGTTTTTGTGTCAAATACTGCGTGGATAAAGATTACATAAAAATTTTTAGAGCCAGTGGGGGGATTCCTTAGAGAGTTATTTTAACGCCATATAGTTGTTAGCACTCACCGATATATGGTCTTTATCACCATGCAAAATTTGAAAATGATTACTTCAGCCGTCTTGGAGGAGATTGCGTATTACGAAATGCATAAGAGTCGACGTATAAGAGCTTCGCTCAATGAGTTATACGATTTTAGATTTTTTTAACATAGGGTAGGTAAGGTGTTTACATATTTCCAGCACAAAGAACCATTTTGAACAATATTTTTGAAGATTTTCAGTGTTTGTTCTTGTGTCTGATTAACATGGATATGGATGTCACTGAAATAGCCACCCTGGAAAATATACCACACAAACTGACCTTGTGAAAATAGGGTTAGGAAAGTAAAAAACTGTCATTGTTAGTGTCAGCCCAGTTTTCTGGCAAGTCAAACTAGCCTATAACTGAATAAGTTACACACACTTACCATGGTTGGAATATGCAGGCAACCTTGTGTTTGCATTGAACAGTATGACAGAACAAAAACCAATAACTTTGTGGTAATGCAAACATCATCTATACAGTAATGAGAATTAAGAATCAAAGATTCATAATTATAATTAATAATTCAGTAATAGAGTAAACAAACAAACAATAAATCTTCATAAATACAATTAGAGTTTTGTCTGCAAATTGCTCAGAATTATATATTAAAAAGTTTTTTATTAGCTCGCTTGTTTCTTGTCTGGTACAAATTTTGGGGGTAGCGGATTTCTACCCCCGGATATTTACCCCCATGAAAAAACGCCTACGTCATTTTGACGTCAC